GCGCCAAACAAAGCGTTTTCCTTGATGGCCATAAAGCTCAATTTTAGTCTCATCTGACCAGAGTACCTTCTTCCGTATGTTTGGGGAACACCAAACGTGTTTGCTTATTTTTTTTTTAAGCAATGGCTTTTTCTGGCCACTCTTCAGTAAAGCCCAGCTCTGTGGAATGTACGGCTTAATGTGGTCCTATGGACGGATACTCCAATCTCCACTGTGGAGCTTTGCAGCTCCTTCAGGGTTATCTTTGATCTCTTTGTTGCCTCTCTGATTAATGCCCTCCTTGCCTGGTCCGTGAGTTTTGGTGGGTGGCCCTTTCTTGGCAGGTTTGTTGTGGTGCCATATCTTTCCATTTTATTATAATGGATTTAATGGTGCTCCGTGGGATGTTCAAAGTTTCGGATATTGTTTTATAACCCAACCCTGATCTGTACTTCTCCACAACTTAGTCCCTGACCTGTTTGGAGAGCTCCTTGGTCTTCATGGTGCCGCTTGCTTGGTGGTGCCCCTTGCTTAGTGGTGTTGCAGACTCTGGGGCCTTTCAGAACAGGTGTATATATACTGAGATCATGTGACACTTAGATTGCACACAGGTGGACTATATTTAACTAATTATGTGACTTCTAAAGGTAATTGGTTGCACCAGATCTTATTCAGGGACTTCATAGCAAAGGGGGTGAATACATACAGTGGGGAAAAAAAGTATTTAGTCATCCACCAATTGTGCAAGTTCTCCCACTTAAAAAGATGAGAGAGGCCTGTAATTTTATCATAGGTACACGTCAACTTTGACAGACAAAATTAGAAAAAAAAATCCAGAAAATCACATTGTAGGATTTTTATGAATTTATTTGCAAATGATGGTGGAAAATAAGTATTTGGTCAATAACAAAAGTTTCTCAATACTTTGTTATATACCCTTTGTTGGCAATGACACAGGTCAAACGTTTTCTGTAAGTCTTCACAAGGTTTTCACACACTGTTGCTGGTATTTTGGCCCATTCCTCCATGCAGATCTCCTCTAGAGCAGTGATGTTTTGGGGCTGTCGCTGGGCAACACAGACTTTCAACTCCCTCCAATGATTTTCTATGGGGTTGAGATCTGGAGACTGGCTAGGCCACTCCAGGACCTTGAAATGCTTCTTACGAAGCCACTCCTTCGTTGCCCGGGCGGTGTGTTTGGGTCATTGTCATGCTGAAAGACCCAGCCACGTTTCATCTTCAATGCCCTTGCTGATGGAAGGAGGTTTTCACTCAAAATCTCACGATACATGGCCCCATTCATTCTTTCCTTTACACGGATCAGTCGTCCTGGTCCCTTTGCAGAAAAACAGCCCCAAAGCATGATGTTTCCACCCCCATGCTTCACAGTAGGTATGGTGTTCTTTGGATGCAACTCAGCATTCTTTGTCCTCCAAACACGACGAGTTGAGTTTTTACCAAAAAGTTATATTTTGGTTTCATCTGACCATATGACATTCTCCCAATCCTCTTCTGGATCATCCAAATGCACTCTAGCAAACTTCAGACGGGCCTGGACATGTACTGGCTTAAGCAGGGGGACACGTCTTGCACTGCAGGATTTGAGTCCCTGGCGGCGTAGTGTGTTACTGATGGTAGGCTTTGTTACTTTGGTCCCAGCTCTCTGCAGGTCATTCACTAGGTCCCCCCGTGTGGTTCTGGGATTTTTGCTCACCGTTCTTGTGATCATTTTGACCCCACGGGGTGAGATCTTGTGTGGAGCCCTAGATCGAGGGAGATTATCAGTGGTCTTGTATGTCTTCCATTTCCTAATAATTGCTCCCACAGTTGATTTCTTCAAACCAAGCTGCTTACCTATTGCAGATTCAGTCTTCCCAGCCTGGTGTAGGTCTACAATTTTGTTTCTGGTGTCCTTTGACAGCTCTTTGGTCTTGGCCATAGTGGAGTTTGGAGTGTGACTGTTTGAGGTTGTGGACAGGTGTCTTTTATACTGATAACAAGTTCAAACAGGTGCCATTAATACAGGTAACGAGTGGAGGACAGAGGAGCCTCTTAAAGAATAAGTTACAGGTCTGTGAGAGCCAGAAATCTTGCTTGTTTGTAGGTGACCAAATACTTATTTTCCACCATAATTTGCAAATAATTTCATAAAAAATCCTACAATGTGATTTTCTGGAGAAAAAAAATCTCAATTTGTCTGTCATAGTTGACGTGTACCTATGATGAAAATTACAGGCCTCTCTCATCTTTTTAAGTGGGAGAACTTGCACAATTGGTGGCTGACTAAATACTTTTTTCCCCACTGTATGCACGCGCCACTTTTCCGTAATTTTTTTGTTTGTTATTTTTTTCATTTCACTTCACCAATTTGGACTATTTTGTGTATGTCCATTACATGAAATCCAAATAAAAATCAATTTCAGTTACAGGTTGTAATGCAACAAAATAGGAAAAATGCCAAGGGGGATGAATACTTTTGCAAGACACTGTATATGTCTCACCCTCTCAGGCCGTGGCTTCCTGTGCTGTTCTGGCAAGATGATGGGGTGGTAGACTCTGATATCATTAACACTGACACACCTAAAGTCACACACTGTCATCCGAGTTCTGCCAGCTCCAATATGTCTGAGTGTGTATGTGTATTTTCAGAGCCTATTTTTTTATTTTATTTTACTAGGCAAGTCAGTTAAGAACAAATTCGCCAACACCGGACGACGCTGGGCCAATTGTGCGCCGCCCTATGGGACTCCCATTCACGGCCGGTTGTTATACAGCCTGGAATTGAACCAGGGGGTCTGTAGTGACGCCTCAAGCACTGAGATGCAGTGCCTTAGACCGCTGCGCCACTCAGGAGCCCTATTAGAGATCCCATGGCACGTTGTCCTGGCTAAACTCTCAACCTTACATAGATTAGTCCAGCACCTAAGCCATTAAGTCCAGAGGTCTGAACCTGTTCATAGGGTTGCTGATATTTGAGGACACTACCGTGTTTAGAGGCCTATATCCCCCAGTGTCTTGACTCATTCTCCCAGCAAAACATACCTACTACTTATAACAAAGCTAATACTGCCCCTTAGTGTCCACTGTCTGCAACAACACTACCTATAGCACCTACACTGCAATCCATCCACTCTCTGTCCTTTCTCTTTCTCTCCCTCAGTCCCCCCCCCCCTCTCTGTGTCTGTCTCCCCTCCTCTCTGTGTCTGTCTCCCCTCCTCTCTGTGTCTGTCCCCCCCCCTCTCTCTCCCTGTCTCTCTCCCCCTCTCTCTCTCTGTCTGTCTCCCCCCTCTCTGTCTGTCTCCCCCTCTCGCATCTGTCTCCCCCTCTCTCTCTCCCCCTCTCTGTCTGTCTCTCCCCCTCTCTGTCTGTCTCCCCCCCTCTCTCCCCCTCTCCCTCTGTGTCTGTCTCCCCCTCTCTCTCTCCCCCTCTCTGTCTGTCTCCCCCCCTCTGTCTGTCTCCCCCCCTCTCTCTGTCTGTCTCCCCCCTCTCTCTCTCTCCCCCTCTCCGTGTGGTTAGGTTATTATAGTGGGCCAGATTAAGCACAGCTGTTGGTCTTAATTAGTCAGGTTTAATTGAAGTAGCTGGTGTGGAATTTATACAATGCAGTTAAGAAGTGTTTAACAGTAGCTTTAATAGACCATGGCCGCATAAAACACTAAAATACAAGATAATACAAAATATATTGAATTTATTTGAATCAAACTTTCAATAATTGGTTTTCATTTACGTGCACCCCACATGGCCTATTCATACTGACAGGATTCCTGAGATCTTTAAAATAAAGAGACTGAGACTAAGATAAACACTACTGTATTCCACAGAAACATTAAGTGTATGAATATGAAGTGAATATCCATGGTAAAGATTAATCATATCTGGAATGTACCGCTTTTATGTTGCGTGCAACTTTCCCACAGACAGACATGGTTATATATGCATTTAATATACACTACCATTCAAAAGTTTGGGGTCACTTAGAAATTCCCTTGTTTTTGAAAGAAAAGCCATTTTTTTGTCCATTATAATAACATCAAATTGATCAGAAATACAATGTAGACATTGTTAATGTTGTAAATGGCCATTGTAGCTGGAAACGGCTGATTTGTAATGGAATATCTACATAGGCATACAGAGGCCCATTATCAACAACCATCAGTCCTGTGTTCCAATGGCACGTTGTGTTTGCTAATCCAAGTTTATCATTTTAAAAGGCTAATTGATCATTAGAAAACCCTTTTGCAATTATGTTAGCACAGCTGAAAACTGTTGTGCTGACTCAAGAAGCAATAAAACTGGCCTTCTTGAGACTAGTTGAGTATTTGGAGCATCAGCAATTGTGGGTTCGATTACAGGCTCAAAATGGCCAGAAACAAATAACTTTCTTCTGACACTCGTCAGTCTATTCTTGTTCGGAGAAATGAAGGCTATTCCATGCGAGACATTGCCAAGAAACTGAAGATCTCGTCCAACGCTGTGTACTACTCCCTTCACAGAACAGCGCAAACTGGCTCTAACCAGAATAGAAAGAGGAGTGGGAGGCCCTGTGCACAACTGAGCAAGAGGACAAATACATTAGAGTGTCTAGTTTGAGAAACAGACGCCTCACTAGTCCCCAACTTGCAGCTTCATTAAATAGTACCCGCAAAACACCAGTCTCAACGTCAACAGTGAAGAGGCGACTCCGGGATGCTGACCTAGGCAGAGTTGCAAAGAAAAAGTCATATCTCAGACTGGCCAATAAAAATAAAATATTTTCTTTGCAACTCTGCCTAGAAGGTCAGCATCCCGGAGTCGCCTCTTCACTGTTGACGTTGAGACTGGTGTTTTGCGGGTACTATTTTGATAATGGGCCTCTGTACGCCTATGTAGATATTTCATTACAAATCAAAAATAATTGCTTTTCTTTCGAAAACAAGGACATTTCTAAGTGACTCCAAACTTTTGAACGGTAGTGTACATAAATTAATTCAGTGTTGTGAACTACTGAATTAGTCAGTAGTTCCTGTTTCGTCCATCCACAGGAAGCCCATCTGTGTTCCGAAGTCAAGCCCGTCCCTGACGTGGGAGAAGAAGGCCTCAGGGTGACAGGAGGTGCACAGGGTCACACTCGGCCTGTCAGTCACTGTGTCATCATGGATACGCTCAGGCAGGACCCCACCCCTCTGGAGAAGTATTCTGGAATGGAGAACGTGAAGGTTTAAAAACATGGGAGGAGAGGAGACCCTGATCTAAACAATGTAGATTGTATTCCATGGTCAGCATGCCCCTGGGTGAACTATGTGTTCAGAAGAAATACTGCCGCTTTAGTTTGACTCCATCATTCTGCTGGTTAGATTGGTAATCCATTGACCTGATGGGACTAATGATCATTTCAACAGTATCACCCCATACAACCAGTATCCAATCAAAGACATCACTCCCAGGGCATGACTTTTGTGTTTGCAATCAGATGAGTGGCTGGGGGTGGGGTGGGGTGGGGTGGGGGGGGGGGGGGGGGGGGCGCGGTAACCCAGTAACAGCCCATAGGAAATCAATCAGGTGACTCTCCAGTCTAGCAGCACCCATCATAAAAACCCCATCATAGTTTGACCTCATTATTGACCCTGTGGTGTTATTTCAACTGGGAGTCAATGCTTTTTATTTATTTATTATGTCAGTGATTTAATGACAGTACGTCAGAGAAAGACCATAAAGTCATTGGGCGCGCCTGAGTGGTAAGGCTCAAGCAACTGACTGTCGGGTGAGGTGCAACTCCTACAGCCGAAAGTCGGATATTCATGTGGTTTTCCAACAGCAAGGCTCAGAGCAACATGGCAGTGTTGCCATTGTTTATAAAAGGTTTTCTTTCTATGTCTCCAACCCCCATATCACACACTCACAAACTGAAATAATATACAGTGTATTTGGAAAGTATTCAGACCCCTTGACTTTTTCCACATTTTGTTACGTTACAGCCTTATTCTAAAATGGATTAAATTGTTTCCCCCCCCCTCTTCAATCTACACACAATATCCCATAATGACAAAGCAAAAAAAGGGTTTTAGAATTTTTTTCAAATTTATAAAAAGATAAACGGAAATATCACATTTACATAAGTATTCAGACCCTTTACTCAGTACTTTGTTGAAGCACCTTTGAGTCTTCTTGGGTAGGACGCTACAAGCTTGGCACACCTGTATTTGGGGAGTTTCTCCCATTCTTCTCTGCAGATCCTCTCAAACTCTGTTAGGTTGGATGGGGAGCATCGCTGCACAGCTATTTTCAGGTCTCTCCAGAGATGTTCGCTAGGGTTCAAGTCTGGGCTCTGACTTGGCCACTCAAGGACATTCAGAGACTTGTCCCGAAGCCACTCCTGCGTTGTCTTGGCTGTGTCCTTAGGGTTGTTGTCCTGTTGGAAGGTGAACCTTCGCCCCAGTCTGAGGTCCTTTCATCAAGGATCTCTGTACTTTGCTCCGTTCATCCTTCTCTCGATCCTGACTAGTTTCCCAGTCCCTGACGCTGAAAAACATCCCCACAGCATAATGCTGCAACCACCATGCTTCACCGTAGGGATGGTGCCAGGTTTCCTCCAGACGTGACGCTTGGCATTCAGGCTAAAGAGTTCAATCTTGGTTTCATCAGACCAGAGAATCTTGTTTCTCATGGTCTGAGAGTCCTTTAGGTGCCTTTTGGCAAACTCCAAGCGGGCCTGTCATGTGCATTTTATTGAGGAGTGGCTTCCGTCTGGCCACTCTACCATAAAGGCCTGATTAGTGGAGTACTGCAGAGATGGTTGTCCTTCTGGAAGGTTCTCCCATATCCACAGAGGAACTGGAGCTCTGTCAGAGTGACCATTGGGTTCTTGGTCACCTCTCTGACCAAGGCCCTTCTCCACCAATTGCTCAGTTTGGCCGGGTGGCCAGCTCTAAGAAGAGTCTTGGTGGTTCCAAACTTCTTCCATTTAAGAATGATGGAGGCCACTGTGTTCTCATGGCTTGGTTTTTGCTCTGACATGCACTTTCAACTGTGGACAGGTGTGTGCCTTTCCAAATCAAGTTCAATCAATTGAATATACCACAGGTGGACTCCAATCAAGTTGTAGATACATCACAAGGATGATCAATGGAAACAGGATGCACCTGAGCTAAATTTCGAGTCTCATAGCAAAGGGTCTGAATACTTATGTAAATAAGGTATATGTTTTAAAACATTTATACATTTGCAAAGATTTATAAAAACCAGTTTTCGCTTTGTCATTATGAGGTATTGTGTGTAGATTGATGAGAAAAAATATATTTCATCCATTTTAGAATAAGGCTGTAACGTAACAAAATGCGGAAAAAGTAAATGGGTCTGAATACTTTCCGAATGCACTGTATGTGTACATTGTACAATCAATTAGCGAGAGAGAGACTCAAATATCACATTCATTTGTATATATATCCACTGTATACACAAATCGCGGAAAAGATAGTTCCTGTTTCAGTCATGTCTTTTGACACGTTCGCGTGGGTCAAACAAAAAAAACGAATGATTGGTTGACAATAGAGCCTCCCACAATGCAGGCGATGGCTGCAGGATGAAGTTGGTGAAGAGGAACTGCAGAAACTTGGTCACATGATTTTTGTAAAGTTCATGCAGTTGACATATAGGCGCAAGTCGGACAATTTTTATCCCCATAATGCAACACTTTGAAAGGCAGTGACCAACGATGTTCAACGGCTTGAGAAAAGGGATCCGCTTGAACGCGCTATTTGTCTATATGTTGCATAGTTGGCCAAACTAACCTGGTGGCTAGTCGTATGTTGACGTGAGGCCTGGTCTCGGCCATGTCAGGAACACAGTCAGGGTGTATAGAGTAGAACTCTGCAGCCTGCTCTCTCTCCAGTGTAAAGCAACAGGCCCCCACCGACGGCCCGATCACCACGGTGACATCACATGCCCTGCTGCCGAACCCCATCACCATGGCGTTGACTGTAGCCATGGCAACACCCATCAGGGTTCCTTTCCATCCTGAGAGAGGGAAACACAAAGGAACACTTTATAATGATGCACCAGAAGACATCTTTCTGCAGAATATGAATACTGTCTTGTACCTAAAGTGTGTGTGTCTCACCAGCGTGAGCTACTCCGATGACCCTGGTCACGGGGTCAGTGAAGAGGAGGGGCATGCAGTCAGCTCCTGGAGCAGCTATGACAACACCTCTCTGATTGGTTACGATACCATCATAGTCCTGTGGCTCCTCCTCCTTTCCCATCACCCATACGTCACTGCCGTGGTTCACCTGGCAGGAACAGCTAATCAGCATTAACCACTCAATGATGTCAGTGATGTTTTCTACAACCTACTGGAGTGAGTGTTATACGCTGTACAGAACAAGTGCACTACCTCCCTGTGCCATAACGGTCTAGACCTCAATCAATCAAATGTATTTTATAAAGCCCTTTTTACATCAGCAGTTGTCACAGTGTTTTACAGATACCCAGCCTAAAACCCCAAAGAGCAAGCTTTGCAGAAGCAGAAGCACAGTGGCTAGGAAACACTCCCTAAAAAGGCAGGAACCTAGGAAAAAACCTAGAGAGGAACAAGGTTAAGAGGCGTGGCCAGTCAGAGTGCGAAATACGGGGGGCCCAGGGGGGTCTCAGACCCCCTGAATGAGACATGAGTGCCCCTAAATGCAACAAAGTCAAACTTTGGGGGGTCTCTAATTAATTATAATTGAACCATTCTCCTATTAGTTTAAAATGCCATTTGTTCTGTTACATTGGTACTTTTTCCTATGTCTGAAGTAAATCTCTATTTTTGATGTAAATGGCTTGTTATAGAAGGGTCCAGACCAATGTTCCCTCTAAAAAAAATTCCTCACGTCAGCAAATTTCAGGTCTGCTGAGTGCAAACTTGAACGTTGTGAAAATTCTATGCAACTTCCGGTGCGTGTTTACTGTGAACAATGAGGCTGCACCCGCTTTAAGTTAGTTTTAATAGTGGTTAAGTAGGCTACTGTGGCTCTTTGATCATAAGCTGCGATTCACTTCCTCATTGCTTGTTGTGTAGTATCAGGGCACGCAAAATATATTAATAAAAGCTACAAAAACACGCAAATACGTCCTTTTAGAAACGGACACGCTCTCAGTACAGTGATGTAGGTCTTTAGATGTTGTACACATGACAATGTGTCATTTCGAACTTTATCCGCAATGTTATATTCCCTTTTGTGCAACTCGAGACGTTTCTTCTACCTACCAGCAGTGCTGCGTGGGCTGTGTTCGTGTACTATAGGGACACGCTCGGCCTGCACAACTGTGTGGGGGAAACTCGACCAAAATGGATTATAACGTTGCGGATACAGTTCGGAATGACACAATTTAATGTGTACAACATCTAAAGACCTACATCACTATACTGAGAGCGTGTCCGTTTCTAAAAGTCACTATATAATTCAACCTCTGTTGCTAGTCTTCTTCTGGTTGACCTCTTGGCAGAGGCCGTGCTACACTTACATTCAGGGAGTCTACAATAATGTTATTTGCTGTACTGTCGTACCTTGACCAGGTGCAGTAGTCGGGGGTAGAACCCAGCCTTTTGGGCTAGTCGGCGGATGTTCTCGGCTACGAGGGTCCTGGAGTCTCTGCGTCTGGAGCTACTGAACAGGTTGAGAGAGGAGAGGGTGGAGATGGAGGAAATACCTCCTGTACGCGTGGTGAACCCATGGGAGAAACAGTCTACAGAGAGAGAGATGGATGGACTGTTCACTGGTTGCTGAATGATAGTTCAGCCTAATATTACACTACAGTAATTGATAGTGTATTACACACACCTACCTGAAATTAAAGTGGACCTCAGTATAGTGATGTCTCCTTTAGCGTGTAACTGCTGCAGAAAGCTTCTGACCTCCTCTCTGACCTCACTGACAGGTGGAGCGAAAGGTGAGTCGCATTGCATGTGACCAGGGCACGGGAGATCATTGGATGTGACGTACTCAAACGTGTACACCTCCGTGAAAAGTTGCTCATGGTATGCTTCAAACATCTGCCTCCTGTTTTTTGAGGTGAAGACCCGAACCGTTCGCAAGTCTAGTTGGTCCACGGCTAGTTTGAAACGGTACCAAGACTCCGTAACAGTGGTGTAGTCCAATACGTGGACGTTTGTCTTCTGACTGGAAAACGTTTCCAGCAAAGACACCGTGTTCTCGCCGTTTGCATTACAACGTTGACCGTGTGGTTGAAATAGTAGATAGATTTGAAAGCCGACATCGCTCCTACCTGTGACGCTTTTTATTTGCCTCTCCACGCACGAGCTGTGCTGCGGACACCGACAGTGAATTATATCTATAATGAAGACTTCTGACATGTTGTCAGGTAAATGCAATGAGATCCAAACGGAAATAACTTAACTACTGGACAAAAGCTTCTCTAAAAGTGTGTTATGAATGCCGAATTTCCAGAGGCGATGTGCCTTTTTATGCAGAGAGGAACATGTTTCATGCGTCAACATGCCGCTTTCAGAAACTCCAGCGGAGAGTTTGAACTTCCTCCTTGCATAGCACTGTTCCCGCCCTCAGGGGTTATTACTAGTTACCACAGCCACAAAGTCAAAATGGTCTATGTCGTAAAAATTCATGAAAACTAAAATTTGCTTTTTGTCTTAATTTAAGGTCAGGGTTAGGCATAATGTTAGCTGCGTGGTTAGGGTTAGGTTTCAAATCAGATTTTAAGAAGATACATTTTAGAAATAGGCGGGGGTTTAGCCATTTCTATGACTTTGTAGCTGTGGTAACTAGTTACGTTTGCCTCCGGGGAAATTCCAGGGTGGGGTTTCTGCGACGGACTGTACACAGGTAAACAGCGGTAATCTAATCTTTTACCTTTCTGACTGTTCCTCTTCAATCCCTTTTATTGTTTTGAAGACCCATAACTTCCTCATAGCCATGTCCTATCATTCATACTTTATAAATAATGTCTGGCCATTTTTGTGCTGGTTTGGTTAGATGAAGAGGAAGTAGGCTACTGTAAATACAAACAAGACAACAGACAGGCTTGCTCAAGGGTGTGCTGTGTCAGGTGATTATGACAAACCTCCTCTGTCCTCTCCAGGTCTCAATTGCAGGATGTCAAATTGAATCGAAAGTTAATGTACAGTGCAGTGCCTATGGAAAGTCTACACCCCCCTAGGATTTATTCACATTTTATTGTGTTACAAAGTCGGATTCAAATGGATTTAATTGTCGTTTTATTGTACACGCTACACAAAATACTCAAAGTGGAAGAAAAAGTATCTATTTTTTTGTATTAATGAAAAAAAAAACACTAATATACCTTGATTAGATAAGTATTCACCCCCCTGAGTCAATACATGTTAGAAACACCTTTGGCAGCGATTACAGCTGTGAGTCTCATAAGAGGTGGGTACAGCACGAGTACATTTTTAAACCTGCATCAGGAAATGTAGTCTATCATAGTTCATGTGAGATTCCATGACATTATGAAGGGCAGCTCAGAACAGCTGAAGATGGATTTTAAAGAACTGATTGGGTCTCTGCTTGACACCAACAAACGCCCCATATTATCTGGCCCTGTGCCATCCCTAAATCGTGGCATTGAACATTTCAGCAGACGTTTAGCCCTCCATAATCTCCTGAGTGGCGCAGTGGTCTAAGGCGCCGCATCGCAGTGCTAACTGTGCCACTAGAGATCCTGGTTCGAATCCAGGCTCTGTCGCAGCCGGCCGCGACCGGGAGACTCATGGGCGACGCACAATTGGCCCAGCGTCGTCCAGGGTAGGGGAGGGAATGGCCGGCAGGGATGTAGCTCAGTTGATAGAGCATGGCGTTTGCAACGCCAGGGTTGTGGGTTCGATTCCCATGGGGGGCCAGTATTACAAAAAAAATACAAAAATATGTATTCACTAACTGTAAGTCGCTCTGGATAAGAGCGTCTGCTAAATGACTAAAATGTAAATGTAAGAGCAATATTTGCCCATTATTCTTTTCAAAATTCTTCAAGCTCTGTCAAGGTGTTGGGGATCATGGCTAGACAGCAATTTTAAAGTCTTGACATAGATTTTCAAGCAGATTTAAATCAAAACTGAAACTTGGCCACGTAGGAACGTTCACTGACTTCTTGGCAAGTAACTCCAGTGAAGATTTGGCTTTGTGTTGTAGGTTAAAAAGATGCTGAAAGATGAATTCCTCTCTCAGTGTCTGTTGTGAAGCAGGTTTTCCTCTAGGATTTTGCCTGTGCTTAGCTCCATGCTGTTTCTTTTCATCCTGAATAACTACCCATCCTTTGCCGATGTCAAGCATACCCATACCATGATGCAGCCACCACCATGCTTAAAAATAAGGAGGGAGGCAGTTACTAATTACTTTAGTTTTTGACTTTTTATTCTGTATATTTATATTCTTCTTTTCATTCTGTCATTTAGACCATTATTGTGGAGCCACTACAATGTTGTTGATCCATCCTCCGTTTTCTCCCATCACAGCCATTGAACTCTAGCTGTTTTAAAATCACTTCATTGTGACATCCCTAAGCAGTTTCCTTCCTGTCCTGCAGCTCAGTTCAGAAGGAAGACAGCATCTTTGATGTGTCTGGATGGTTTAATACATCATCCACAGCATAATTATTAACTTGACCATGCTTAAAGATAATATTCAACGTCTGATTTGTTATTGTTACCCATCTACCAATCACTGCCCTTCTTTATGAGGCTTTCGAAAAGCTCCCTGGTCTTTGTAGTTCAATCTGTTTGACTGAGGGACCTTACAGATGTTGTATGTATGGGGGACAGAGGAAGGGGGTAGTTATAAAAAAATTATGTCAACCCCTATTATTTCACACAGTGTCCATATAATTTATTAGCAGATCGACATGAAGAATAGATTCGCCGCCCTGGTGCCTGATCTACCTGCGCCTTCATCGTTGGGACTGCTTGTGTCTGCGACAGCTGTGCTGACTCCAACTGCTCTGACTCCAACAGCGGCTTTGTCGTTGAGTTCAGCTCCTTTCCCTCTCTCTGGATCTAACAGGGCTCTTCCTGCTGTGGGAGGTCTGGACCTATCGCCGGGAACTGCGGGCGTACGCTATCCTGCTTCTCATGGGCCCGTGAAAGGTTCCACTAATTGTGTGAGCAGTAGGAATGGGTGAATTTCTCCATCCCCTTGTCCGGCCGTTGTATTGGGCAGTTCAATGGTGAGAAATGTCTGAGGCCCTGGAGCAAAAACATTGTGCTATCCTGGAGCACGAGTACAGGACATCAATAAGCTGCTCCCAAACATTTTTAAACCTGCATCAGGAAATGTAGTCTATCATAGTTCATGTGAGATTCCATGACATTATGAAGGGCAGCTCAGAACAGCTGAAGATGGATTTTAAAGAACTGATTGGGTCTCTGGTTGACACCAACAAACGCCCCATATTATCTGGCCCTGTGCCATCCCTAAATCGTGGCATTGAACATTTCAGCAGACGTTTAGCCCTCCATAACTGGCTACGTGACTATTGCAGCTCTGTGCGTGAAACATTTATTGACAATTTTGACACCTTCTGGAAACAAAGCTCGGTTTATAATGATAGGATCCACCCAAATCATTTGAGTTCCTGGATCCTTTCACAGCATTATAAGGCTGTGTTGAGACAAGGACTTATCAATGACCCAAACCCAGCTCAGTTAATCCCTATCATTGTGTCGCTGAGTTGTCATAATGCTTCCGCAAATGAACATTATCCCAGGGGCGTTGGTAGACAATGTAAGTAACCTAATTTATGTCCCTCTAACTGCCCTGAATGCCTCTGCTGATCCTACAGCTATTGTATGCTGTAATCATGTGCCTATGAACCAGAGTTATACTGTTAGCACTGAGGCGGTGTGCCCTAGTAGGAAGTCCACTGTGTGCAGCTCACCCTACACTAACATAAATAACATGAGCATGTCTACTTCTGCTAAGCTTCCCAGTAAAGCAATGATAACAATCAAGCATCCTAGAAAAGTGCTAAAAATAGCCCACGTTAACAAATGTAGCTTAAGAAACACGTTTCATGAAATCAATAACTTGCTAGTAACCGATGCCATTCATATTTTGACAATCTCTGAAACTCACTTATATAATACCTTTGATACAGTGGTAGCAATACAAGGTTATAACATCTACAGAAAATACAGAAATACCAATGGTGGAGGTGTTGCTGTTTATATTCAGAACCACATTCCTGTGAAGATTAGAGAGGATCTCATGTTAAATATTGTTGAAGTAATATGGCTACAGGTTAATCTGCATCACCTAAAGCCCATTCTTTTGGGAAGCTGCTATAGACCACCAAGTGCTAACAGTCAGTATCTGGATAACGTGTGAAATGCTTGATAATGTATGTGATATCAACAGAGGTATATTTTCTGGGTGATTTTAAATATTGACTGGTTTTCATCAAACTGCCCACTCAAGAAAAAGCTTCAAACTGTAACCAGTGCCTGCAACCTGGTTCAGGTTATCAGTGAACCTACCAGGGTAGTTACAAACAGCACAGGAATTAAATCATCAACATGTATTGATCACATCTTTACTAATGCTGCAGAAATGTGATTTAAAGCAATATCCAAATCCATCGGATGTAGCGATCACAATATAGTAGACATATCTAGGAAAACCAAAGGTCCAAAGCCTGGGCCTAATATGGTGTATAAGAGGACACCCAATAAGTTTTGTAGTGATTCATATGTTGTTGATGTAAAGAATGTTTGTTGGTCTGTGGTGTGTAATGAGGAGCAACCAGATGCTGCATGCTTATTCCAGCATGCTTATTCCAGTTACTAATAAGCATGCACCCATTAAGAAAATGACTGTCAACTATTAAATCCCTGTGGATTGATGAGGAATTTAAACATTTTATGGTTGAGAGGGATGAGGCAAAAGGAATGGCAAATAAGTCACAACCGATTGGCAAACGTACTGCAAATTGAGAAATCGTGACTAAACTGAATAAAAAAAAGAATAAACTATACTATGAAACAAAGATAAATGATATAAAGAATGGTAGTAAAAAGCTTTGGAGAACCTTAAATTAAATTTTGGGCAAAAAGGCAAACTCAACTCCATTATTCATTGACTCAGATGGCTCGTTCATCACGAAACCCACTGATTGTCACACCCTGATCTGTTTCACCTGTCTTGTGCTTGTCTCCACTCCCCACCAGGTGTCTCCCATTTATCCCCATTATCTCCTGTGTATTTATACCTGCGTTTTCTGTTGCCAGTTCGTCTGGTTCCGTCAAGTCCTACCACCGTGTTTCCTGTGCTCTAGTTTGTGGTTTTCCTAGTCTTCCCAGTTCTGAACTTTCTGCCTGTCCTGACCCTGATCCTGCCTGCCGTCCTGTACCTGCCTGACTCTGATTTGGATTACGACTCTTTGCCTGCCTTGACCTAAAGATTGCCTGCCGTCCTGTACCTGCCTGACTCTGATTTGGATTATAACTCTTTGCCTGCCTTGACTTACCTTTTGCCTGCCCGTTGTACTATAGTAAACTCTGAGACTTGTACTATCCGCCTCCTGTGTCTGCATCTGGGTCTTAGCCTGAGCATGATACTGATATTGCCAA